AGAACCTGGGAATCGCTTGGTGTCTATTCTGTAAACTGAGAATTCATTCGCTGCTGTATTCTTGGTTGTCCAGTATTTGCTTTGCAGAGCACTGTTATTTCTGGAATAATTACGTGAATAAGACTTTTAAGTCAGTAAATAGTTTTAAGGTCAGTATTGTGTATCAGGAGGTACCCAGATTTATCCTGGTGACAAACTCTTTTCCCTTTTTCTAGCCCTGCACAGGGAGCAAGAGTGGCTGTTGAGGTAGTGTTAGATGTCTCAGCATGTGTTTCCTGTCTCCTCTAGGGAAAAGTTGGTAGGCTGTTCTAGTCTGGTTTGTTTGTTTGTATGCTTCTTTGAACATCGCCTACCATTATGGCTACATGTAGCACTGTTTAGGAGCCCCTACCATAGCCTTAAGACTGTGTATTTTTCTAACTTTTCTCATTGTTTTTGTGTATGAGCTACTTCTGGGTTGCCTTTTTCATTGCCAAAGAGACTTATGTTGCTGATTTCCCTGCTTTGAAAAATGCTATGCTGTCTTTCAAATCCTAGAAAACAAAACTTGGCCACGTGATGTGATACCTGCACGTTTTCCAAAACGGCTTTGCTCCAAAATCTGGCCCTCAAATCCCTAGTAGGCCAAGAATTTCTGTAACCATCTTAAAAACAGGTGCTTGACAAGAATAAGAGGAATGTTGGGCACCAAAAAAAAAAAAAAAAGAGGACAGTTTTGGATTGCTGTAGCTCTAGTCTCTAAGGCTGTCAGGTAGAATTATAGTTGAGTTGTGCTAGGTGATGTGCGCAAATACTGACAGTGTTGCATCTTAAAAAGACTAGATAATTCTTCCTCTTTTGTTGTCTCAGTTCTGAGAAATCTGTTATTCCTTTCTCTCTGCTTTTAGGCAGATGTGAGAGAAAAGTCATTTTTGGTATATTTTTTGTGACTGTTTTGATTAAATTGCTTTGCTACATAAAACCATTCCTTTAAAAATATGCTAACAGAGTTCATAAGTAAAAAATCAGCTGTTGAGGGCATAGGAGCTATTAGGTGGTCCTTTAAAAAAGTGTACTCTTTACTTTGTAGATTTCAGCTATATTGGAATATGTTCAGTCTAATTAAGCAATTGAATAACCCTTTTGTCACGTCCCTATCAGAAATATACTGACAAGTTTTGCAATATTAGGAAGTTTCCAAACAGTAGTACCTTGTGATACAAATTTCTTGACTACCGCTTTCCAAACGCACTAAAGATAAGTGTTGGTCAAGGGTTAGGGATATGCAGGTGGGGAGCTGGATCTGCAGGACGCTTTATGTTGTAAAATAAAAGGTATAGATGTCAGTCTCTGTCTTGGCTTTTTTGGTGGAAGTTAGTCTTATGCGATGTCATGGGTTTGTTCTGAAAATTATTGTTTGAAAAGAATTCTGACTTAAATGTAGCAGTACTATTACACCACTTTTCTGTAAGGAACCTCAAACCCTATTCACCTGATATCTTCCCTTCCTCAGGTAATTCATGTCCACTCATCCCGCTGTAAGGGGAAAAGGTTTCTGTTGAGGCGTGCATTTCTTAGGTCCTTATCTTGGATACAGTATTCATGCTGTTCCTCCCAAATACTAATGGTTTACAGAGAGATGTTCCTTTTCAGTAGATCTCACTTTATTGGTTTTGGGGCAGTTTGTAAAATATTTAAATAATGTTTTTCTTGTGAAAGTATAGTCTTGGATTATAATGACTTTTTTTACTTGATACCTTTGAATGTCTTGCATGTATTGGGGCACAAGACTTTTTCAGATATTTGGTTTTTAGAATGCAACAATGTCTCACCCTCATTTTGAGCTAGGCCCCTTTGTCTTGTAAGAGCTCATTGGTAGCAATATCCTGTTTAAAGTTGTTTTAAAAGAATGACCTTGTAGGGCATGTTTCCTGCTCTCTCTTGATGGGATTTCCTTTTTATTAAACAGGAAATAGTCTGATTACATGAAAGTGTGAGAATGACAGGTTTTTCCTTCCCAGTGAGGGTTGTTCATGCTAATTCCATTTAGAGTAGTCTCAGCTGCCAGAACTGCTGGAGTTAATTCATGTTGCCTAAAACTGTTGTTTACACGTAAAAGTTTCACACTGGTGCGTTGCTAAAGCATTGTCTTGATCTGAACCATCAGCCACTTTCATTTAAAAGTCTTTGTATAGTGATTCTGTTAGCAGATACATTTTTTTTTCCACAAGTGGAAGATGACAGGATTCAGTGATTTGTAGCGTGCTCTGCTGATATTCAAAGGTCTGCTTCTGTTTTGCTTTGGTTTTGGTTTTGTTTTGTTTTTTCCCCCGGCTCTCTGTATTGAAATTGGAAACTGCAGAGATGATGCTTTCTTACCTGACAAGAAAACGTATACTTGCAGCCTCCATTACTTCTTCTGTTAACTTTGTCCTCAGAATCACCTGTTGACCTGAATTTAGGAATTTCGGTCTAAGCGCTTCTGTATACAATACTGGTAATGAATCAGGATAAAGTAAATGTACTGTAACAAAATAGGAAAAGATACTGTGATAAATTACACAGGCCAACTTAGTGCATTGTGTGCTGATCCTATAGGGGCCAAATATTGACTTAAAGCTAGAGGTGGTTGCTGATGGTGGCATTAAAACCCCTCTGCCGCTGGCTAGTGTCCGAAGTTTACATTCCATATTTAGACCTGGCTGGCTGATCCAGTTTCATACGGACTGGATGTTTTGGGGAAAGGAATTTTGCCTTCTCCTTGAAGAAGGCCAAACGCCATGAGATGTTACTATAATATAAATGCTATTCCATTTTATTCCATAAGCCAGAAAAATGGTCAGATAGTTAAGTGTTCCCATTAGGAAACTGCAGAATTAAGGTAGTCCATTCAGCTTAATTCATTTCTAGTATGCATTATGACTGCCTTAATAGATAAATTGGGTAGTACTCAGGGGTTGACTTGGTGCTTCAAATGGTGCTTCATGCACTGCAGACTTGAGATGTAGGTACTGACTGAAGCAGGAAGGCTTTGAGACATGTTTATTGGTAAGATATGCAGAAAATTGCTGATTAGGGGAGTGCAGACACTTGAGAACATTGAGTTTCGTTCCAGACTTAGGAAAGGTTAGACCAGCAGTTGCCAAAACGTTTGTTGTCACCCCTCTTCAGTTTCTGCCTTGAGTTTTGCTGCTCCTAGTTTTGAGAGCTGTTGTTAGGACCCTTGCACGTTATCTCTGTCTCCTCGGCCCTGTGTCTCTAGTCCGTTGGCCACCACCTTTTTCTCTGTGCGTGGTCTGGGTGGCCCTTGAGGAGAGTCTTGTGTTCTTCATTCCTAGGTCTGTGCCTTATGCCATGAAAGACTAGTGCCTTTTCTTTTTGTGTGCAATGAAAATGATTTATGTTCAAAATTAGCATGTATATTTTTGAGACGGTCATGGTGAATATAATTAAGGTTATTCTGACCATATTAACTATGCTGCTTTGGAATGTTTGGCTTTGTGTTAAGGTTTTAATGTAATTTCATGTTAATATCTACATAACTTTCAATGTAGAATAGCAGAAAGGGAAGTTTTGCAGAGTGGTTGGTTGGCAGATAAGAATTTTCAAAAAATGGAGAAACCCTGGAAATCTTAAGCTTGCTTTTGTTGCAGAAGTGTGATTTAGAATCCTGTATGTAGGTTTTCCCTTGATAATTAGCGCAAATCTTTTAATATCCCACTAGAAAATCAACATTTACACAGTAAAGCCTGGGATTTTATTGTCTTGTACAGTTTAACTTTGAAATGCCTGATTGAAACTGTTACAGCTGGCCTGTAACCTAATTGGACTGGTATGTTGGAAAGTTTCTGGAGCAAGTTGCTTTGGCTGTAAGCTTTGTGCCAGTGAAATGATGATGTATAACATGATGACTCTAGTGAACAAGCTTTGCTCAGAGAGTTGAAAAACGGTATTAGTTTTTAGTTTCTATCTCTGCTTATGGATCTATTGCAGACAGATTTAATAAGCACAGGGTTGAAGTTTTCTTTGGGAAAACTTTCAGCCAGTTGAGATTGTGAATTAGCTTTTTTCCAAAAATGACAAGCAAATCTGAAAACAAAGCAAAAACAAAACTATAAATAGCAGGATTACACTGGAATAAAAGGTGTTTCAAGAAACCCGCCCAGAAAACATGCTTATGGAAAATTACTCCTATGGAATTGCTTGAATGTGGTTGAACCATTTTCCAGATTCATTAACAGTCTGTTCATCTGTACAACTTTATCATAGGGTTTTTAATTAAGTGGTTTAATTAAATTAGGCTTTTTTTTTTTTTTTTTAATACATCTCATTGGAGTACCTAATCTAAAGCTAAGTAACCAAGTACTGGTCACAGAACTGAATTCTTTGGTTCCTGCAACATAAAAAGAGGCAGATGGGAAAGTTGGGGCCCAGCCTGCAAATCTTTGTTAAAATAATTACAATTAAATATTTCAGTGGGCAATTACCTGACTTGTATACATTATTAATGTGACTGCAGAGGCAAAGAAGGCAAAAGGTACCAATAAAGTTAAATTCAGCTACTTCTGTAGAGGGTGGAGGCTGGAGGTATCAGCTTTTATGCAGTCTTACATTGTGGTAGCGTGTCCTGAAGGGTCAAGCATCTGTAGCGCCTTTGAGTACAGCAGTGGGCATTTACAGTATAAGTATTGCAATGCTGTATCAAATAGCGAATCATTGTTTTGGTATGCGTAGGCATAGGCTTAATTTATTCTGCTACACTCTGGAGCAGTGAGAAGGTAATGGTTGAAATAATTTGGAGTATTGGAGTGCTTTCACATAGTTGCTAAAAGTTTGCGCAGCTGCCTGGAAAGGGCTCGGGAATATTGTCGTGGAAAACATGGAGTATTTTCAAGGACTTGCAATGGACTAGTTGTGTTTGGAGATATGCAAGATACAAAGAGAACTTCTGCCCTGAAGAGGGGCCCTGCAAGAGAGTATTGCCTTGAGTTTATACATCAGCTGTGCTCTACCCTCTGCAGGTGCTGCTGGTTAGCAGTAGCCGTCATCCTGACCGATGGATTGTCCCCGGGGGTGGCATGGAGCCCGAGGAGGAGCCCAACATGGCTGCTGTGCGAGAGGTCTGTGAAGAGGTAAGTGTTCGGCAAGAGCAGGAGCTCCCGGAGCCGCGCTGGGGATTGTTAGCCAAGGCTCGCTGCGTTTGTTTGCAGTGTTCTCTCTTGTTTTCCTCGAGGTGAAGAAGAATTTAGGGTCGATGGTGATCTCCACATTGTACGTGGGAGGGAACCTGCAGTTCTAAATAAAGACAGCAGAGGAATGTAATTAAGGTTCTCATTCAGAATGAACTTTTCCTCGCCTGGTACCTTTAACTGAAGATAGTTGAAATTAAACTCTGATCACTTCAATACATATGATGATGCTCTCAATTCTATTATATTTTTATAAAGTACAATTTAAAAGAACTTCAAAAGACAGCTGTGTTTTTGTGCAGCTAATAATTGAGTAGAAGACAGAAATAGTACCTTATGAGCCGTTGAACGCGTTCCAGAAATAGGGATGTCGATATGTTTTGGTCCGCTACACGTTTTGAGTTTTATGTGAATACCGGAAATTGACCATAAGAGTTATCATAAGCAACAGTTCCTGTGTGTTGACGCTTTTTTCTTTTTCTTCACTTGAAGCTGTTTCAGAAAGGGGATCAAACAGCAACATACAGATTGATGAACTGCATGGAGAAGGCCTTTATTTCTTTCAAGAGCTAGATGTGGGGGTTTTGGTTTGTTTCCTTTTTTAAGGAAATTAAAGTTAACAGCAAATGGAAGTTGACTGTATCTTATGCAAAATACATCTTTAGAACTCACTTCTGAATATTACTGAAATGGAGAGGTGCTTGGGACTCGGAAACAATTAAATGATCGTATGTGGATGATCAAATGGGTTCACAGTAATGTAAGATGGGATTAAAAATGCTTTCAGGAGGGTTATAAATCCGTGTGCCAAAGAACAAAAATCAAGAGCTAACTGATGGGAGTTGGGAGGAAGCTTCTCCAGCACTTGCTTTATTTAGTTAATTGTCTTGTATATGAAGCTTTTCCCTGAAGTACTTGAAAGTACCTGCTGTCTAACAAAATGTTGGACATTGGGGCCTCTGGACTAATGCATTGTGGCAGATCCTGTGTCATGTGTTTCTCTTTAGGTGTTTTCATAATCTAGCAGTTTTTCTGGAAAGATATCAAAGATGTAAAATCCAAGTTTGTTTTTAAGTCACTTTAGGTCCTTTCCGTACTGGGGATTACTGCTTTCATATTTTGTTTCCAACTTATAGTACAGCTCCTGCTTTTTTAATAGCTCAGCAGTCTTTCAAAATACATTACCAGCAAAAGTGAGTTTAACCATAACAATAGAAATATTTTCAGTTACAGGGTCCTGTTTTACAGCCAAATCCTTACTAATAATTAAGTTATTTAATACTGAAGTCAAAGGTTCATTCAGGAGATGCATGGCTTCGCCTTTCAAATCCTTAAAATAAATCTGCATCGACCCTCCCTTTCTCAGGCAGCTCAGAGCCTTGGAAGAGTTGCTCTCTTTCCATGACAGCTCAGTGGTTGAAAGGAAGTCTTGGCATGGACTCGGTCTGCAGTGAAGAAACTGGTTTGGGCTGGCTGAGATAATCCCCTCTCACTCAGCTGGTGTTCCCTCGCTCACGTGGACTGGTGCCGAATGAGAATGTAATTCAAACCGTAGCAGCCTGGCAGGGTTGAGCCATTCCCAGTGAAGTACCTATCTGCTTGAATGCTGCTCAACAAACGGTAAACATCAAGAGCCACAAAAGCGGCAGGATTACCGGAGCTGCTAACCTCTATGATACCCAATAGTATCTTGATGTGCATGCATCGTCAGGAACCGAAATCGAGCTATCAAATGCTGTTACCATAAGGGCTTTTCTGAAAGTGGTCTGCAGAGGAGCAGCCTGTCATGCGTCTAAAATTACTTGAGTGCTTCTGCAGCTAATGATTAGACTAGCTGACACAGGTGGAAAACACATGCCAGCTTTGGGGCATATAAGACCTTCCTCAGATACGTTTGTTTTCCAGTAAGCTGCTTAGGATACCTACACAAAATTATAGCATATATCAACTCTGTCTTAGGCTCAGTGAGCTGTTCACTGTTAAAATGTCACTGGGGAATGCGTGTGCAGGAGGGGAGTGTTTGATATATTCTGGGTGTAATGCTGTAAAGGACTTGCGCACCTAGTTTCCCAGCTTGGGTTATTGATTTGGCAGGGGTAGTGTTTTAAGAGGTGGCTTGCTGGGCAACTGGTGTATACTAGCCTATACTAGCTGGAACTTAGAATTGTACAATTAATCCCTGTTCTTCCCTTCAGATGGGTTTAGGCTTTTTCTGATTCTGGTTGTAGCTGAGGCCATGGTATGTGGGCAATAAGAGCAGCTGCTTTCTGGGTAGATTTGGTCTCAGCTCTCATCTGAGACAGATGTCTGTCAGTCACAAGGAGGCAACAGGTTAGCTGAGCAGGTAGATTCTGCGGTGAATGTTGAGAGAGAGAGAATCCAGTTTCCTCCCTGTCTATGGACACAATAATTCTTATCCTAAAAGGAAATAGATGGTCTGTGTGCTAATCAAAGTGATGGAAGACACTTGTGGCCTTTCTTTCACTGACTCTGGTATAGCTTTTCCATTTAATCAGAGCTAATTGGAAGAGGTGGAAGGACTCATTGCACTTTGGTTGCTTGTGGTCTTTGGAGGTGACAGTAGGCTCTCTTTTGCAGTTTGTTCTTTTGCATAGTATATATTTTCTTTTAAAATATCCTTCCTTAAAGTGAGGTTCTCAACGTCTGCATTCGCTATGTTCAATTTCATCATGGGTATGTTTGCATGTATATATGTGATCACTGGAATAATTGCCGTGTAAAGAAATCGAACTTCTCCCTCTTCCTAGTTTTCAAAATTTGAGAGTGACTGTTCTGAAAATGAAGTGTTGATTCTGAGTGACACTTGTGATCCCTTTGTCTGAGCTTGAGTTAAAAGTCCTTGTCCTAGTTTGAGATAGTCCTTATCAATATTAATCTGCACCAGTAGAAGTATTAAAGTAGACAAGTACCAACACTTGTCATGCTTGCCATTGTCTGCATAAAATTTGAAGTGACTGAGTACTTGGGCATTCTTTTTAGGCAAAATGGCAGTACGTAAGCATGCTAGCTCTGAATAAGGGCAATCTTTATAGAATAAAGCTGCTTGCTTCTGACAGGTTGTTGGAAGCGATGTCATCAATCATGGTTAGCTGCAAATTCCAGGTATATTCTAAGGTCCACTTTCTAGAAAAAAAATCTATACCTTTCTGAAATAGTAAATATTAGTCCCAACATCATGTATTTTTTGCTTCTTCATACTTGACTTTTTGTGTTGCATTCTCTTCCCAAAATTAATTTAATATTAGGGATAAGAGGGTTTTTTTTTTATGGCTGTGAGCAACTGGTGAAGAACATGTTGAAGAAATAGATGCTTTAAATTAAACTTATTATAGAGTGACTTTGAAGAAAACCTCCACGCTTGTCTGTTAAACCCAAACTTGTTTTGCACTTTTAGCATCTTTCACATCCTGACCTCTAACTGCTTAATAAATGTCAAATCCTTCAAAATTAAGGGTATGTTAGTTGTGCTCCCTTCGTGGGATCTAGAAGGCAGAGAAATTGTGCTTGATCTGTGATCAAACGGGCAATTGATGCCAATATCAAAAATAGTCCATATCATCATGGTACTTTGATCTAGTCGCTAGACTGTCCTCTTGCAAGAGTATGCTTTATAAATCATCTTTTGTTTCATGTATTTTGTCAGGGATTTAGAATATGGACATTGATATCTTTCGGTGCTAAAATAGGAAGACGTGTATTTTTTTTCTGAAGTACCATTACGTGGACCATGGATGAATGACTGAGATAAGTCAGTGTTTTAGCTTTTCCTAGATTTAGTAATAGTCAGGGCAAATACTGGACCAAGTTCTCTACTGTCCATTACCTTGCATAGGTATGCTTTATAACAATGAATGCAACATCTGAAAGTTCTTCACTCGGTGGTGGTGATATTTCACCTCTTTCACAAATGTTTATATTAATTGTAATGCAGTAAAGAATTCGTTAAATAGATACAGCCCTCCTTGAGATATACAGTAAAAATAGCAAGAAAATCTGCCTAGTAGAGCTGTAATTCATGTCTCTAGACATTGTCTAAGCTAGCAGTCTTTACTGGTATGATTTACTACCTTTAGCAGTGCAAATAGTAGAGCAAAGACATGGGTGTTTTACCACAGTCCTCTTGCCCAGCAGTAATCTATAGTAGATGCAGGCTTTGAGCCTAATAGAGCAAAGTAAAATAGCTGAAATTCCAACCCACATTTTCCTGAGCTCAGATGGAAGGAAATAAAAGCTGTCCCTAGGAACAGATGGTGTTGCTGCAGGCTGCTTTTTGCATCTGACCCGAACTTATTTTCAGCTTTGAAACCTGAACCTGCTGTTCTTGGATGTCTTCAGTAATTTTTCTTTATTAAAACAAGTTGTTCCATGAGCAGCAGAACTAGTAAAGCTTCATTTCCTCTAGATTTTTTGTTCCTTGTCCTAAGTGCCCATCCCACCCCTCCGGGCATGCAGTAGCAGTTTGAAGATGTGTATGCTGTATTTGGCAGCTGGATATTGCTGAAATTAATACGCTCTTACCAGGTGTATCTTTTCCCCCAGTGAGGACTACCTTAAGTATTGGAAACGCACTTGAGTCTCTTGTATGCTCAGAGCAGTGAAAAAGCAGCTCTTTTTGCAAATCCTGCCTGTCTTTTATACCAGAGCGTGCCTCTTACAAACTAATACTGTCATTTGATTGGTTTGCTTTATTTTCACACCTGCAGACAGAATAGTTGGTGCTGGGGCTTTTCTACCCCTTGTTAATAGGTTTAACAGCATCCTCCTAGGACATGTGTGTATTTTGAGGATTGCAGCACAGACTCCGTGCGCAGTGCTTCTAATGCTTGGTGGGGAAACACATGCCCAAACAAATGGTGCTGCTTCTGGCAGAAGTTTACTGTTGTGGCCCGTGAGGACGGAGAATTGCCAACGCATTTACTAGCGAGGAGAAAATCTTTTAGAGTCATCTGGTGCAAAGTAAGATTTAGGTCCGGCTCCTGTCCTGCATGCATCTGTGACTGTACTTCTTGCTTTCCAAGAAAACGCTCATTGTCCTGTAGCAAAGATGACTAGGGAAGGTGCTGAGGTGTTGGCCCATAGGAAAGCAGGAAATACGAAGCTGGCTGTAAGATGGGACCGGCAGTTTTCTGAATCGGTTTCTAGCTGTTTTTGTTAATGATAATAACTATAGATGTTTTTCACAGGTGTATTGGGCAACTTTGTGGGAAATTCATGGGAAATTGTGAATTCCACTTTCTCATGTTCCATTAGGGAAAGTCACTACTATACAGAGACTATTGTTTTTCTATTTGGGTGTAAATTAAGTGCTTTATCAAAAATCTAGGTGCGCCTATTAAATCAGCAGTCTGGATTGGAAGTCCTGTAGGAGAATACATTGTCTTTAAAATCCATTATAGCAGTAAAATTGGATAGGGCAGTTAATGGAGTCAAGGATTTAACAGTTGATATACTTTATAGCCTTTGGTAAGGCTTTAATGTTTCTCATATTCCTTGCAGACTCAGTCTGATGTTTATTTGAATCAAACTGTTAACTTATGTCCCCATTTATGTGGTAAATTCATATATGAAGAAAACCTTAGCACTTGTTTAAAATTGCCTAACAATAATTCAGCACGGTTTTCCAGCAGAACATATTTGTACAGTCTTTGTGCCTTTTTGAGTGGATAAGACTAGGCAGAACGGAGGAGAAGGATGTTGATTTGCAGACAGAGCGTTATTTCGGTTACCTCGCTGTTTAACCTGAGCAAAAAGAAGGGCTACTCACCTGCCTTTACTAGTTCAACCATAGTTTTAGAGCTGTGAATAAGCTTATTGGGATGCTGACTGTGCAGTATTCTTGCTTAGTTTCCAGGCTGACCAGTTGCTTGGAGATCAATTACTTGGTTTTTTGCTGAATTACTTGGTTTCTAGTCAGGTTGGAGAGTTTGCTAAACCATAGTAACAAGATCCCTGTCTTTTGATTCAGTGCCCTTGCAGGGAAGTAAGGAGAACACTAGTGTATTGGCCAGAATGCAATAACCTTTTTCTTTTCTGGAAACAAGTGAAGAAAATTGGTTTAAGACAGTTACTTGGAGCATTTGATTACGCTTCACCCTTATATACATATGTGTGTGCGCACGTGTGTGTTGTGATGGTGGACGCCTTGTGTTCCTCTCTGTTGCTGATGACTGACTGATATGGCTGCTTATCTTTAAGGAAAAAAAAAAAAAAAGTCCTTTGAGATTGTTGAAGGAGTTCTCTGAATGAAATTCTTCTGACATACTGGCTTTCCGGTCCACTCCTGAGAGCGATTAGCCCAGGTTAGCAGCGGCAGTTTTGCAGATGAGGTAAAATCACTCGTCTGCAAAGGTCAAAACCAGTTATCTGCCCCAGTCGCAGCAATGTACGTATACATGCGTACGTTGACCTTCATGGAATTGCTGTTTGACTCCAGAAATAGCCTTGTGGTTAATAGTCAGTAGCTCACCTATGGGTTTAAGGCAACGTCCGAAATACTGATGAGCCAATAAATTTTGCATCCAAAAACAACATAAAAGCTTCAGTTGAAAAGCTCTTCCTAGAAGTAGAGGTCAGGGAGCAGGTTACAGAAAGAATTAGATTTCTATGAATGCTTGTGGTAGCGGGAGCTACACCTCCCTTCCTCCTTTAGGGGCAGTTTTACCAGTAGGAGCAGTAGTGAGAGGCACTCTATCTGTAGTTTGGTCTGCGTGTGTGTTCATTTACTAGGCTGGGAACTTAACCAATAAAATCTTTTAATAATTAAGAGTTCTTCCTTTCTAAAACCATGTAACTGGTTAGTAGCTGAGCAAGTGGGAAACGGTGGATCTCAGCTGCTCAGGATAGAGAATTTTCCTTATTGTTAAACACTTAGTTCCCCTCACCCAAACATCTTTTTTAAAAAAAAAAAAAAAAAAAAAAGCCTTATATAATCAGGCCTATATTTCTAGGCTCTAAGAGTAGAGGCACTATTTTCATGAACTGTTTGGGATATGTTCCAGCTGCCAGAGATGGCAGCTGAATTTACTTCCCTAACGTGGCTGGGTTGTATGCCAGATTGTGTGTGTTGTTTCAAACTGGTTAAGTAATGGAGCGAAATCTGGTCTTGTCTGTAGCGCTTGAGCTCCAACCATTTACAATCGTAAAAAGAAGGGAAGGAAAATCATTGTGAAAAAGGAGGGCTCTGGGGGCAGGAGAGTGGGATGGCATTTTCCTTTCATGCATGATGCAAGCACCAGAGAACAAAGGAGAAAAACAGTGCTTTGAGGAAGTGACTGAGCCACAGTGATGAGTGGATATATAACAAGTGACACCAAATCGCATAAAGTGGGTAGATACTAAGTAGTATTCAAATATAAGACAAAACTGTTACTCAGATCTCTTCTTGATTTGTGTCTGCATATGATTCAAAAGTCTTCTTTCAACTTGCATCTGCGTTTTGTGGTATATCAAAAATAGTGTTGTTTCCATTATGTAGGCTGCTTTAACAGCTTTGGAAGTATTTTATACTTGTGTTTTTTTCCAAGTGTTTCCTCACCCTCAGCTTGCTTCAAATGCATGCAAGACATCACTGAAATAGCTGGAAGCTGTCACACTGCTTTGATGGTATAAGTGGATGTCTTACGTTTACCTTATAGTTATTTTCTTAAGTAGGTTCTTAAGGAAGTGAAACTGCTAATCCCCAGAGCAAGTTTTATCCATGTTTAGGTTACAATAACCTATAGAGGAGATTTTGGTCACTCAGGGTATACGGAGGTGCAATTAGTAACTTGTCAGATAGTTTTCTTTCTCTAGATTGCCTCCAAGATGGTTTGAATATATTTAAAAAAAAAAAAAAATCCTGGAATGCATGCATGGTTAGAGCTCATGACAGAGTTGTGTACTTTCTCTTGTGACTGTTGTTTTCAGATTAACTAAATTACAGCATTTGCTTCCTGTTTTACAGGAACTGCTGCTATACAACAAACAAGGAAATGTGTACTAAACTGTTATTAAAGTCTGTTTTTCTGTTCGCATTTTTTGTAGGCCGGAGTGAAAGGGACGTTAGGAAGATTAGTGGGAATTTTTGAGGTAAGTTTTGGACATTGTTTGAGACTGAAATTTGATGCAAAAAATCATCTTGGAATAAAAATCTCTTGCCAGTTTGTGAAGTAAATAGGTAACATGTTTGCAGAAAAACTTAAAACTCTGTGCTGAAATAAAAATGTATGCTGATCTCTTCAGTGATATTAGTCATCTGCAATTTCCACTCCAGTTGGAATTATTGATGATAAGCTAGTGTAACAGTGAACATTCCAGTGCATTCAGACCTTTCGCGCTGCAAAAAAAAATGCCACCTGCCAAGTGGGGAGCAGTGGCCCTCCTTTGTTTGTTTAGCACCTCCGATCACTAGTTGCCAAACTGGACCCTGCAACGTGGTGACATGTATGTGCCCAGTTATTAAGAGTGCTGTGACACGTGGTGAGTACTAGTGAGATGCGGAGCTGACAGGTACCAGCCATTTTTAGCTCTTCTCACAGTTACTTCACTCAGCTGTTCAGTCGTGTATAAGTAGAAGAAAAAGTTTAAGAAACAGATCAAAATATTTCTTGCTTGTTTCAGCTAAGGAACTGATTTATAAACATATCTGTCTGCCAAATACTGCCTTACAGAATAGGAACTAGACTTTTTGGTTATAATCCCTATTAATGCTTTCAGACCTCTCTTTTAAAACACTACAATTCTTAACAACTAAGAACTGATTATAATGCGATGGCAACTGCCTGTTAGGTACCGTAACATTATGGTGAAGCAGCATGCAACTTGTAGTTGCCGTGTCCCATGTGCCTCCCCCCATTTTTCCCTTTGAAAGCTTGGTCATCGTTTTTTCACTTTGCCTTCTAGAATCGGGACAGGAAACACAGAACATATGTTTACGTACTTATCGTCACAGAAGTGTTGGAAGACTGGGAGGACTCTGTCAATATTGGTAAGCCCTTTGTGCTTGAGAGCGTTAGCTGGTTCCATGCAGGCAAAGCATATCAACTTACCCTTCCTCGGGGAGCCGGAATCCTTTTGAGGGTGGTCTAGAAGAGTTGCAGTGGTTTGCCCTTTGCTTGTTTGTGGAGGGGGCGGGGGGAACAACGTGGTCAGGTTGTTGCCTTCTTAACCACTGTGGTCCAGGAGAAGTCAATTCAGCTGCAGAGCCACCTCTACAGCAGTCTTACATTTAATTCTTGCACTTTAGGATACTAAGCCAAGAGCATGAAGAACTGTCCATTTTAAAACTAAAAGAAAATATATGCGGGCAGTATGGATTGATGGTTCCCTGTTCTCTTCTGAAACCTGCACATCTAAATCAGACTTCCAAATGCAAATGAACCTGTTACTATTGTTCTCCAGAACAATACCTTGTCTGACTCGAACAGAAATTACAGAAATAGCAAGACAAATGCCCTTTTTTAAAATTAATAATGCAAAACCCGTTTGATTAAAACAATTGGATATACTGCTCTAATGATAGATACCTGTGCTGGGGATAGTGGAGTCAACAGTGTTGTGCTTGGAGTATGTGGCTCTTCAGCTGCTGTGAGATGTTGAGAGAAAGTGTCCTAGCAATTTTGAACTGACACTTTGTAACAGACTGGAATAAATCATGTCGTGTCAGCACACTTGATAGTGATTGAAAGTTAAACAGCACGACTTAAACATAATAAGGATAATATCGTTTTGTTGCATCTACTGATTTATCTTTTTACCCACAGGAAGGAAAAGGGAATGGTTTAAGATAGAAGATGCCATAAAAGTTCTGCAGTATCATAAACCAGTGCAGGCCTCATATTTTGAAACCTTGAGGCAAGGTTGTTTGGCAAACAACGGCACTCCTGTCATGACCACGACATACTCTGAGAGCTCTGTGTCTGACATCAGATGACTGAAGACGTCCCTATGAGAGCAATTTTGAAAAATAGACTGAAACATGGATTTCCCTCCCCCCCTCCCCTTTTTCACATGCCTCCTCTATCAAACAAGGCATGGGCAGCCTGTGGCAGAGCAAGTGTTAAGAGTGCTGCAATTTAGTGCAAGGTGGGATTTTTTTGTTAGCTTATTTTTTTTTCTTTTTTGGATATGTATTTTGTAAAATACATTTTGTGCATGAAGTGCCCCTTTCCCGTTACACCGTTTCCATGGCCTGGAGAGCGAGGCTGCCAGTTTCGCCTCTGCCTTGTGTTCTGGAGTGTCCCGTTTGTGTCATCCCAGCCATAGCCACTTTTTTTTTTTTTTTAATTAAAAGACTTCAAATGTGAGATCAGCTCTTTAAGTCTTAGTCTGTACTGTAAGGTGCTGTTCAGACCTGCGTGTTGGTCACTTTCAGCGCATATGTATAAACTTTTTTTAGACGGAGAATCTAACACTTTAATTTTGCAGGAATTTTTTTAATCCTGGTCTGCTTCTGAAAAGAAGGGTTCATAATTGATCTGTTTGCCTTTTGTTCTGTTTTTTAAAAATACACGTTCTGTGACAGTGCTAGTGGCTGGGCCAGTTTACTCCCCTTTCGGTATCTCCCGATTTAGTGCAGTGACACTTGAAGTTGAGGGCAGAGTTTTGATCACCTGCAGACATCCCTGCTGCTCAGTTGCTTCTCCTACAGCTTTCGCCAATGTTTCTGCTTTTACATCAAAATGAAACAACAGGAATTGGTCTTTATCACTTGGCCAAAAATAAATAGCCTCAGATACACTATGATAGAAACTGAATTTCCTTGTCTGTGGTAGGAATCAGGGATTCAGAGTGGGGTCAAAGTCTGACAAACTGGAGCGTCAATCACCAATGCCGTTCTGCTGATCCTGCTGCATTTTGCTGATGTCTCTTCTTGTCCACATGCCTTATACCGTGCTGAACTGGATATTGTAATTTGTGCTAAAGCATCGGATTGTACTTGCTGAGTGTTATTGCACGAACCCTTGATTGGAAAACCGTGCCTGTCCCTGAAAAGAAGTCCTGGGGGAAAAATTCAGGTGTTCGATCTCTTGTCCTGTGGTTCTGCAGCACTTGCAATTGCACCGTGGAGCATGCTCAGAGTGTTTAACTCCCCCTCCGTGAAAGGTACAGCTGACTCCCGAGCAGAAATGCTAGCTGGAGAAGTACACCATTTAATAGGATAGTTCCCCTGATGCATTGGCACACTTCACACTTTTTGTTGTTTTTATTGATGTAAGTTTCATGCTGTCTTGATTTGCCAACAGTGTTGTCTAGTTGGGAAATAAAATGGGAAGGGTTTGGGGCTGGGGCGGGGCGGGGGGTTGGGACAGGTACACGTTTGGGAGGGGCATTAATTAATCCCTGGCTTGGGACAAGGGGTAGTTGCTGAATTCAGTAACATCTCCTTTGTCAGAGCATAGCCAAGATGTGAAATTAAATCTGCAGTACTCTTTTTCCTCTTTATTTAACAAACAATATTCTAATAAATACTCACTGTTCCAGAGTTTTTCTCTCTTCCCCAGAAGCACTTACATATGAAAATCTGATAGAAATATCCATGGAGCCTGGGACTAGGGGGAATGGTATCCTTGCTGGTTTGGCAAGAAGCTGTTCATTTTAAGATCCTATTCTGTTCCTTTACTTGTTCTCCCTGCTTTCATCAGTGTGGAGTAGCAAGGCCAAAAGCAGTGCCAGTGATCGCTAACATGAAAAACCACGCATAAGAAAAAGCTGAGAGGCATTATTCAAGCAGTAGCTTGAAACCAAGCATCTGGAATTGAGCCTAAATTACACCAGTTCAGTTCACTTCAACTTAGAGACGAATGTACAATCCTTTCTTACTCTGTGCTGATCGGCCTGAACCAGACTCTCAAAAGGGCTTGAATTCTGTATCTGGAAATGTGTAAGAAATTCAAACAGTCCGCTGTACCCAAGCTGTGAGTGGCACCTAACACAGCCATCTACTGCCTTCAATTGAGGTTTTTTTTTTGTCTTTACTGTACAGATTAGTATGTCGAAAATGCTTTGCAACAAAACAGCTGGTACTCCTGAAAGAGTAACTGCAGTTTTAATATCAATAGCATGCACACTTTTGTTTTTAAACTAAAAATGTTTTTACAGGGCTGTTAAACTGACAATGTAGGGTAGAATATTGTTAATGACTTGCTAATGGCTTATTTGTTTGGGTCAGAAAAATAAATTGTGCCAAGAAAGTGTTTTAATGTGGCATGAATTGATGCTGTTAACACAGTAACACTGAGTGGCTGATGATACGCCTTCTTAACTGGAAATAGCTCCTGGGGTAGAACTAGTCTTTATTCAACAGATGCGTATTTCAAAACAGGCCTGGCTCCTGTTCTCCCTAAAATCTCTTCCTGCACCACACGAATTCCCATCTTCCTCAGCATCTGAGGTTCTCCTGTAATAACTGACACAGCTGCATGACCTATCAGTTTAAGCAATTTTATCCAAAATTAGGCCTAACACTGGTTTGGGACCGACAATCACACTACCGTTATTAGTGACAAAATTGTTTTAAGGATGGCCTGCTCTCTGGGTTTTGCAGTAGAGACTAGTGCCAGCTTGATTAAACTGCTTAGGGCCAGTGTCATTGACCAACTGCTAAAACCGTCTATGGGATTAGACTCAGACTTCCAGCTAAAACTGGTGCTACTGAGCTAGTGTTGGAGATAGTGGAATTCTTACCTCAAAACATGTAGCGTCTAGACTGACCCCTTACATCGAGCATTGCGATGTGTCTAGGCTTTCCGTTCAAGACGAGTGTCCTCTTTTATGGCTTTCCATATAGCTTCTGTCTTATTTGGCACTGGCGTATTCGTGGATTCTTTCTAACTAAAATAGAGGCATTTCTATGCTTCGTTTAGAAATCCCTTGATTTTTGCAGCAAACTTGTTTGTTGCCCTGAAATTGCAGGTTTGGTGTGCTTGTCTTAGTTCTCTGGAATCAGTTCTTAGAGCGATGCTGGGCCTATTTATCATGCACAGGCTTCAGCTCAGAGTTGCTGCTGTTACTTATCTTTAGGCACCTCTGAACCAAGGGGGCTAATGAAAATGAAACTTCTCATGTATTCTGCAGCTTTGTAGGGGTAAAGTTCTCTAATCTGATTACTTTTTCCCTTGCTCCTTTTCCTGCTGTCTGCGTATTCCTTGTACGTACAAGGACACGTTGCTAGTAGTATACTGAGAAGCAAGTCTGCCTACAGAGAGGAAGGGGGAAAATTGCTGGGTCTTGAAATGCTTGAGTACTAGATTTCTCTATGCGCCTAAGCGTAGTCCTCAGGGTTGCGAGATCAGTGGTGACGTAACAGGAATAGGGAGACATGCTACTTAGTTTAGGGAAATTCTTTGAGCAGTTCTCACTTCTGAACACTGATTCACTTCCTCTGCTATTGTCAAAGTTAGAAATCCTAGTCTAGAGGAGCTGCATCCTGCCATCTGTTTTTTTTTAAAGCATTTGAGTCCTTAGTAGGAGAAGGGAAGTGCATGCAGCACTTAAATCATGCTAAGCAGTCGTGTCCGTTTCAAACCTCAAAATATCTACAAAAATCTGGCCTCTGTCATTGAAGGCGTTTGACAGACCAGCTTGCATTACTGCTGTGGCAGTAAGATGTTAGCTGGTGCTTTAAGCTGATGCTGGATGGCTGCTGTACTGGCGTTTGTTCTATTCTGTTGTCTGCAACATGGGAGAAGAAGGAAGACACCCCGGGGCATTAATGTCTTTACTGCTTCTTGATTTCTTTTCAAGCACCCTTGTCAGATCCCATGCTTTTGTGATGATTTTAGCTGACGCTTAGAACTCAAGAGGCAGGCGGAAGGCCCTCTGCACTATAGTGCCAAATGTAATTAAACTTAGTGGAGCTGAAGTCTTATGTACAAGCTCTAGGAAGCCTCTCAAACGTGGTTTTGGTATGGCGGAACAATGATTTCTATGCATTGGTTAACGTTAGTTTAGAAATCTTGCGCGGTAGAATTTATGCAGTACATGAGAGTCTTGGAGCTGTTACTGTAAAACGTCTTTTGGTTTCAAATTTGACTTAGCTCGCATGAGAGGCTTCTCGAAAGCACATTTTAAAAGGGCAAAAGGAAATTCAGTTGAAAATAAGTATCCTTCTCCATTCAGTGAAGCTTTTCCACTGCATTGAATAAATGTGCCACACTGCTGTACATGCTAATGCTGGTTCTGAGCGGCATAAGGCAATTATGACAAAACTAGAGTGTGTGGCACTGACAGGCCCAGGAGGTAACGGATTTTCCCTGGAGATGCCCAGAAAAAGGGTTAAATGAGGGTGGTTTTTTTTTTCCTTTGTTCCTGAAAAATGGCATTCATTGCTGTTAAAAAGAAAGCACTTTTGGTCTCTTCACAAAGATGTCTTTGGTCTCTTCACAAAGATGAATTGTTTATTTTTAGACAATAGTTTACTGGAGATGAGGGAAACTCAGTATTAAAAACCCAGGGGTGGCTTGTACCTCCTTTATCTTTGCATAGTGTTTCTACTTCTTAACAGAACTGGCAGAGCTGTTTTGTGCTGTCTTACTCTTTAGCCAAAGCTACTCTGCCAGCTCAGAACGCCCTTGCTGCTTTCTGCAGAACTGCAGCAACTTCTTGGAGAGGTAAACGCCGAACGTTCGTTTTTCTAGGTGTATTGTTTGGCCAAATATTGCTTTGAGCTAATGCCTACTTTGTAAAGTACAAACATGGTAATTTTTCAAGTTCCAAGAGCGTTAGACTTTACATTATAGAAACTCTTTAGGCCTGCGAGAGCGGCAGCTAAAAGACGGGCAGAACATGAATAGCAATCTTTCTTACCAGTTGCTGTGCCACGCGCCCTGGGTAGGGTAAATACTACTTTCTCGTGATGCTGAGCTCTCAGGAGGAGGCAGGTAGCTGCTGGGGAGTTTTACAGCCTAAATATGCTGAGCTGAATCTATAAAAGACAGGGCACCTGAATTAGGCTGGTTAGTAAGTGTGAGGCAGTTGCATCACCTCCTGTAGCAAAAAAGATAAATTGGAAGTTGCCGGTGGTCAGCTAACTTGTTTACGTGTAATGCTATTAAACAAAGCTGAAGTAATAGACTGATATTACTGATAAACTCCATTAACAAATAAATATTATTGAAACCTAATATAAAGGGATTAAAGTATGGACTTTAACAGAGGGGTACTTCATAATGAGTCTTTAAAAGCTGCTGTTTGAATCAGATTAAAGGTGGGGGGGAGGGTATACCTGGTTTGTTAAAGTTTTGCTGTTTATTCCCTCCATCCCTCGCTCGTAAGAGGCGAGGAGGTAAAGCGTAAGAAATGTTTGGAGTGTCCATTGGTTCTGGATAGAAAACACACTATGATTTAACTGAGTTGTTCTCTGTATATTACGCTATAAGAAACTGTCAGATTTACAAATAAGCGGATCCCAGTCAGGGCTCTCCTTAGATAAAATCTCTGGTGGTAGAAAGGTGGTGCAGACAGAGGAGTGTTTGCAAGTGCTGTCCTTTTGCATTTTTTTTTAATACATCCTTTGGGAATTTTTTCCTTTTTCTTCCGTTTTGGAAACTTAGTTCCTTCCTCTTACGTGGTTTCGACTACAGCTTAGCACTACAGGTATGTTCTCTAAAGCTGTGCAGCGCGGTACAAAAGGTTGCACGATGGTGGTAGTGGCGTTCGGCGATCCTACGCATGGAGGTTAGCAGCAATTGGTGTGGAAATCTGCACCCAGACAACCTGCTGCAGAGGGACTGATGGCCTGC